TTTGACGTGGTGGTCATTACAATCAGTTTACATATAAATTATAAACCATCCAAAATCTCAAATTGGCGAAGGATAGTATCAATTCCTATCACATTAAGTTCAATCCAATCATTTTTTGGAGTTCTATGTACTAAGTCTCCCGAAAAATAAATTTAAAAAGAAAAAATAAAAGAAAAACAAAAAAAATTGTGTAGCAACCTTGATCTAGTGCACAACGGGAGTATTGACGATGAGGAAATGAAGGCGTAGGAAAGAGAGAAACCGAGTACAGAGAGAGGCAGAGAGGCCAAACTTGAGAGAGAGAGAGAGAGAGAGAGAGAGAGAGAGACATAGAGAGAGAGAGAGAGCTAAAAATGTGGTGTAGAGAGAAAGAATGAGCATGAGAGAGTTGAGAGTCTCTTTGAGGTGCTTTTAAATGATAATTTTGACCTAAGTGACATAGAAGTCATTTTTCCTCACACTGCTGACATGGCAATGTTAGTTGTGAAAGTATACAAAAGTGGTGCCAAAATTAATAATAATTTATTCAAGAGTACTATTATTGAAATTAACCCTTTGTTGCCCCCTTCGTTGGCCTATCATGTTTTTTTAATACTTTTTTTTGCTTTTAGCTTTTTTTTTTCTTTTTTTTTCTTTTTTGTTTTTGCTTTTTTTAGTTTTTCTTTTTCTTTTTTTCTTTTTTCTTTCTAATCTTTTTTTATTGTATCTTTTAACTTCTAATTTTTATATATCTCATTTCAATATTTTTTTTACGGTTATCTAAAATATTATTATTTTTTTCAATTATCTTATTAAATTAATTTATTCTCAAATATATGCCTAAATAAACATATGTTATCTGTGATCTTTATAAATTTTAAGTTCAGTTCTAAAACATTTCATACGAGTATGTTCTTAATTTTTTTTGTCTGTCTTTTGCTTTAGATTTGTTTTCTTTTATCATTGTTTATTCTTTTTTTCTTGGTCTTTACCTATACACTAAGGGGACGTTTGGTTCATGGATTCAGAACTATGATTCATAATCATTCTCGTTTTACGTGTGTTTTTTGTGAGAGAAAATACTATAGCGAGTCACGAATCATGATTCGAATCATGACACGAATCCCTATTCCAAACGTCCCCTAAGAGTTGGGTGGGGGTGGGCGGGAGTGATTCGTTGCCCCCCTTTCGTTAGCCCCAACATGTTTTTTTAATACTTCTTTTGCTTTTAGCCTTTTTTTTTTTTTTTTTTTTTTGCTTTTTTTTAACTTCTTTTACTTTTTCTTTTCTTTTTTTCTTTTTTCTCTCTAATATTTTCTTAGTGTATCTTATAACTTTTAATTTTTATACATTTCAAATATATTTCATTTCAATATATTTTTATTACGGTTATCTAATATATATATTTTTTTCTAATTGTCCTATTAAATTAATTTATTCTCAAATATATGTCTAAAGAAACATCTCTTATATGTGATTCTCATAAATTTCAAGTTCAGTTCCGAAACATTTCACACAAGTATGTTCTTATTTTTTTTTTTATCTTTTTTCTCTGTCTTTTGCTTTAGAGTTTTTTTCTTTTATCATTTTTCTTCTTTTTTTTCTTGGCGATTGTATAATAGTTGTTTTAAATGAGTCACGTGCATAACGCACGTTTTTAACTAATATATATATATATATATATTTATCTACTGACCATCAAGATGTCCCTTGTATTGTTCATAGTTTAAGCCGATTGAATTCATGTCACCGAGATGACTTGTTCTTGATTATGTACTTTAATATCTATGGATTTTTATTTTTATTTTTTTTTAATATCCATGGATGGGTGAAGTGGTGCTTAGGAGATTTTCCTTTACTCGTCCCCTAAGCACAATTCCCGTAGTATTAACACTTCCTTTCAGCACACTTGAGTTTCTTTGTGGATATTTGCCTTCTAATAGCAGTAGAATGGTCTACATGATTCCTTCCATGCAGGATGAAAAAAAAGGATAAGTTTAGTTGGTGGGTAAGTGACAAAGAAAAAAAAGTAAAATAAGACAATTTAATTGGTATTGACGTATTGATATTTTAAGAATGATGTAACAAGTACATCTGGGTGACTTAAAAATGTGTGTGTGAAAAGTAGAATGTGAGTGATTTACTTGTAGGGACTTTTTTGAAATTTTAGGAGGGATGTAACTAGTAGAATGGGGAGTGGTTTAAGAATGTGTGTGAAAAGTAGAATGAGAGATGTTAATAGCCGCACCCTTAAATTTTTCATGTTAAAATTAATAATAGCCTGTAAGGTCGGTCGTCACAAGTCATATAACACAAAATGTCAAATAGTAATTATATAAATAACAGAAACATGGATAGAGATGAAAAGCTTAACCTTCAAACGTCCTACTAAACAATAAAACTATTAACAAGATAATTTAATGATCAGCTGTATAGACTTTCATAACATAATCAACAAACATGATTATTGAAACATGCCCACAATATACTATTTGACAATGGTAGCTTAGTAATTATGCTAGTCCACCAACAAAATTTTTTCTTATCTTTGTCAAAATATTCTTGTCTTTATTTCTTTTTTTGGATAAGAAATAATTTCATGTCTTAATCAAATATAAAACCTTCTTAATTCTGAATTTTCACCTGACACTGCAGATCTTTGGAGATAATTATGATCATTTTTCATCAGATATTCAGGTTTGCTTGATTTTCCTCTGGCTTCCAGATGTCTAATTAATGAATTTAGTTATTAGTATTTAATAGCGAAAAAATGGTTGTGGTAACTTTGATATGTGTTTTCATAGATAAAGTTATCACTATCTTTTTGTGAAGCTGCTAAAGGATGCATATATATGAGATCTCTATTTTGATGCATACGTTCCCTGTGATTTACCTTAAGTAAATGTTACCTCTCAGTGTTATCTCGTAATTAGAAAACCCTTGCATCACAAACAGTATTTCGAGGCAATCATTTTTTATTTTAACAAAAAAAAAAAAAAAAAAAAAACATATGCATCTCTTTAATTTGGGATAACCAAAAAGTTTCGGCATATATATGTATTGTTCCCCTTCCACCAAAACCTACGCCGTTTTTTATTTTTCTTCAAATATTCTGCACTCTTTTCCCGTACTTTTATTCATCTGAAAGATGTTTATTCCAATTGTGATTCAGATCCGCAACGAATCTTTATTGAGTGTGTTCAATTGACTTAAGAAGAAAACAACATTATTTTGATGTATATTCCTTAGGGTTTGATGTTAAAAAGATACATAGTGCAATATTGAGAAGCTATGTCACTGGATTTTCCCGTCTGATAATATATAGCAGAGGGCACATGCTATTCTAAATGAACATTCTTATCAAGATGGCGTTTTATTCTCATTCGTGCTTTATACAAATTTTGTTTTATTTATATGCAGACATCAAAAACAATCTTTTGAGTTTCTCTTATAATTCTCTGTCTCATGATCATGCAGATGGACGTGGCTATGCACTTGAGGCCAACACAAACCTTAGTGCTACTTCCCGAGGTATTGCGAAAGTAAGTGCTTTAAAGATACACCGTTGATGATTAACATGCACTACTTGTAAAGGATCAGGCCAAGTAATCAAGGTCAATGTCAATTCTAGTCAGCTGTTCTTCTCTTGAGTTTTACTGCTGAACAAGAATAATACTGGCAGTTTTATATTTATCATTTGCACGAATATTGCAAGTCATGCAAAAAGTCAAAAGTTACCATACCACCTCCAGGTTGGTTATTAATTTAGGCCCGTTCATTTCACTCATTTGAGTTGAGAATTTGAGTTAAATAGTGAATTTATATGAGAGAAAATATTATAAAATTTGAATTTTTTATAAGAAAAAATACTATAGTAAAAAGTTTGAAGTGATTCGAATGGTGAAACGAAGAAAGCCTTATATTTTGAAAATTAGTTGTTTTAAAAAGTTTCACATGCATGGCTTGAGGTTGCTGATCAGTAATTTGTAGTATGGGCCGGCAGCATTTGCAACTTATACATGGAACTCTGAGAATCGTCTTAGAGTCAAAATAGTTTGGTGTGAATTGCTTTCGCTGTTTAATGGAATTCGCGGAATCATAGGCCCTGTTTATTTCCCTTCTCGTTTTCATTTTTCACAATTTTCGAGAATAAAAAATGAAAACGAGTTAAAAAAACGCGTTTGGCGTTAAATTTTTGAAAAATTAAAAACAAAAACGTTCTTGTCATTATATGAAAATCTGAAAATGATTTATAATCGTTTTCATTTTTTCGTTTTTATTTTCTCTCTTCAGCAATTTCACGCTACCTTTCTCTCTTCAGCAACTTCACGACCTTTCTCTCTTCAGCAACTTCACGCGACCGTGTGACTGCGCGCCTTCCCGCCCCACCGTCTGCGACTGCACCCACCGTCTACGACTGCCC